GTAGCGCCCGTTACGGGGGGGGGTCCGGCCCGCCCCAAGTTGGGGTCAACGGTAACGCGCGGCGGGGCCCTCGCACGGGCCCTGGTACTTATTACCAGCACAACTGTCGGCACGGTAAGCTTCGTCGTCGTCGTCGTCGTCGTCGTCGCCGCTGTCGTCGTCGTCGAAGCCGACCGTGCCTGTGCACACTACACGGGCTCTGTACACCGCGTTGCCTTTGTACACCACAACTGCGGCAGAAATGGTGTGTGTGCACCACGGCGACTGAGCACATCATGACAGGCGGGTGCACCACAGCGCCCTTGTACATCGCACTGTTGGTGCACACCACGGCGCCCGCGTGCACCACAACTGCTGTTTCAACGCCCCGTGTTTGCACCAGAATGCCAGCGTACACCACAAAGCTTGTGTACACCTGTAAGGTACCGGCGGAGCAAAAGTCCAGAAGATCGTTCGGGGCCCAACCGTGGCCCTTTCATTATGTGAGTTGCTTGTGGATCTTAGTTTTTCTGGTTCAAAAAACGCTCGGACCTGTTGAACCCACAGCGCCTGTGCAATCCATTGCGACTGTGTACATCATGGGAGTGTGAACCGTGGCGCCTGTGTATACCACATGGCATGTGTGCACCACAAAGCTTGTGTACGGCATTTTTGATGCGGAGTGTAAACCACGCGCCGTGGGGGCGCGCGGGGCGGCGGCGGCCTATTAGGGAATACAGGAAGCAGGAGCTCCTGCACAGGCACAAGGCCCTTGAGACATGGGTCGACGGCTGGAGCGCGCACGCGGGTGCGTCGTCGTCGTCGCCGTCAATTGCGACGGCGACCGGGGGGGCGACGGCGGCGGCGGCGGCGACACGGGCGGCGGCGACGGCGACCACGACGACGACGACGACGACGGCGGCGGCGACGGCGACGACGCCGACGGCGGCAAGCGGCGGCGGCGGCGGTGAAGGTGACCGCCGCCGCCGTCACCGCCGTCGTCGTCGCCGCCGATGCCGCCGTCGCCGTCGCCGCCGCCGCCGTGTCCGCAGCCAGTTGCCGAAAGCTTCAGCAGCGCTTGGGGCCCACTTGCTGGATACACATGCGGGGGGCTGGCGTGACCAGCCGCGCGAGGTAGGAGGGCCGAGCGCTGGAAGGACATGCGGCCACATCCGCGTGCAGGTCTCGCCCAGTCCAGCCCCTTGCACCAGCACAGGGAGAATGGAGGGAGGACAGTGGTAGTAGTCATAATGATATTGTGTGAGTGCACCGGCTGGTTGCGCCATGGCTTGCCCGATGCGTTACACCACACGTTGTGCTTGCGTACAATTACCTGCGCCATAGGTTGAGCCGTAAGCTGCGCCATAGGATGCGCCCCCAGGGCGTGCCATAGCTTGCGCCATAGGTTGCGCACCCAGGGCGCCCCACAAATCGCGCCTTACGTTGCGCCTTAGGTTGCGCCCTCAGGGCGTGCCATAGGTTGCGTCGATGGTTGCGCCACAGGTTGCGCCAAAGGCGGGGCCACTTTGTGGCGCTGCGTTTCAACGGAACTCCTGGTGCGCGCACTGTTCGGGGAAACGTCGTGCTGGCAGGCGGGCGTCGGGACTCCGGGTGCAGCCCGCAGGATAATGACAACGGACGCGGCAGGGATGACGACGACCATTATGTGGCACCTGTGGCGCGCCACACCGCCGATCAAGTGCTAAAGCGCAGTGCCTGTTGGCACTGCCCGCAAGATTTGGCGGCGAGCCGAGGGGGGAAATGACAGGGGGCGGGCCTTCTGAGAAGGCTCAGAAGGCCTCCGGCCTTCTGAGAAGATGTCCAAGCCTCCCCCGAAGACACGGAGGGCTTCTCTGAAGGCCAGAGGGTTTCTGAGAAGTCCCGCCGCCTTCTGAGAAGGCCTGCCCCCTCTCACTCCCCCCCTGGGCCCGCCGCCGAAAGATATCCACTGGAGGTCGCCCATGAAGCAAACAGGTCCCACAAGAGACGGGTTTCGGACCGCACGGACGGCCCTCGTGGACCAGCCTTTGATCCCAGGTCGTTTTTTGATAATCCCGGGGCCTGCCATAAATCCCTGGAACCCCAAAATGGCTTGAGCCAAAATTGCTCTGCACGGGTGAGGACTGGCATCAGAACGGGAGGGACAAGCCCCCCGCCAGAGGGAATGCAGGAGAGGAAGTGGAGGGTAGGTGAAAGGAGGATCGGAGAAGGATGATCGGAGGAGAACGCTCGGAGGGACCAGAGGTAGATGATCCCCCTCCTCCTCCGATCCCCCTCCGATCCTCCATCCTCCTCTTCCTCCTCCTCCTCCTCCTCCTCCTCTTCTGCCCCCTCCTCCTCCTCATGCCCCTCCTCCTATCCCCCATCACCTCCTCCTCCGATCCTGTTCCAACCCTCCTCGTCCTCCTCCTCCTCCTCCTCCTCCTCCTCCTCCTCCTCCTCCTCCTCCTCCCTCTGCCTCGCTCCCCCCTCCCCCCAGGAGGTGAGAGGAGGTGGAAAGCACGAGCACTGGAGGGAGCGCAGAAGCAAGGCAAAGGAGGTGGAGGGGCCAGGCCGGAACCCGTTGAAAGGTTCGCGCCGAGGGATGCGAACCTCGAACCTCGAGGATCGAGGCATCCTGGCCCTCGAGGGCCTTCGTCGTCGCCGCGGCTGGACGCGGCTCGGGAAAAACGGTGCGTCTGAGCCCCAGTCGGGCCCCGTGGACCCATTTTGAGTTTGCGCCGAGGTTCGAACCTCGAACCTCGAACCTCGAACCTGAGCACACTTGTGAGCGTCACAGCATGCCTGCCTGGACGGAGGGGGGTCCGCACCCCCGTCCCCGTACGCTCGTTACCATTACGGGGGAGGAGGGGGACCCCCCCCCCCCGTAACGGGCGTTACGGGTCCGAGCAATAAAAAAAGCTCAAACCCTCGTAAGTTAAGCAACAGCCGCGTCCCAAAAGCCATAAACCTTTTTGCAAATTACACCATGCTCGCGTGCCCGAAACCATAAAACCTTACAAAGTATAACATGTGTGCGTACCCGAGGCTATAAACCATAGTAAAGAATGCAATAATCGCATCCCCCAAAACTACAAACCTTTCTGCAACTTAAACAATACTTGCGTTCCCGAAACCAACAACCGTCATACGTTGATACGTGCGTGCCCGATCCCGAAAACATCAACCGCCATAAATTATGAAATATTCGCGTACCCGAGGCCATGAACAATAGTAATTGAATTAATAGTTGCGTCCTCGAGGCCATAACACTTTTTGTACATTACTCAATAGTGGCGCCCCCGAGGCCATAAACCGTTGTAAAGTAAACAATACTTGCGTCCTCGAGGCCATAAACCCTTATCAATTACAAGATATTCGCGTCCCCGAAGCCAAGAACCATCGTACATTACTCAATATTCGCGCCACTACATCCTTGTAAATGAATGTTGGACCTCGCGTGAAGTCCTGACATTGCTTCACGTCATCGTCCAGACATCCCAACACAGCTCTGGCAAAGTCTCATTCTAAGAAAGGGGGGCCGGCGGCAGGGGGCGAAGCCATCACGGATATACCAAAATGCTCAGAAATAGTCAAATACAATCGTCCCCAGACTATGTTTGGACTATTCTTGGATATTCCCTCTGTAGAGGGGCTTGCCCGACTTAAGCCTAGAGAACCTACTCCCTCCCTCGACGAGTCCTGCGCCACCTTGTTCGTTAGGCTCCACATCGAACCGCATCGGCGATGCATCGGCGATGCGGCGCTATCCTCCGACCCCATCTCCTCCACCGAGGAGGAGGAGGGCGGAGGAGGAGGGCGAAGGAGGGCGGAGGAGGGCGGAGGAGGAGGAGAAGGCGGCTCGCGCATAAGTCCGGGCTAAAACACCCAAGAAGCAAAGCTCCAGCCGTCAGACCAGATGGCCGGAGATTGGGACGGGTGTTTTTGTAATCGTATTGTGTTCACTTGTTTAGTGTCGCTTGCAGCATACCGCCGGCAAAAAGGAGGAGGAGGAGGAGGGCTGAGGAGGAGGGGAGGAGGAGGAGGAGGAGGAGGAGGAGGAGAGGAGGAGGAGGATGGCGGAGGAGGAGGAGGAGGAGGAGGAGAGGAGGAGGAGGAGGAGGAGGAGGAGGAGGGAGGAGGAGGATGGCGGAGGAGGAGGGGAAAGGCGCAGGAGGAGGAGGAGGAGGAGGAGGCCCATGTGGGAGGCCTGGAGAGCCTCCCCCCCTCGAGAGGAGTCCTGCGCCACCTTGTCTGCGAGGCTCACGGGCTCCCCGGCCCCGGCGCCTCCCACGGCCGCCCAGGGCGCGCCGGCCGGGCGCGGCTGCGCCCGCGCGGCCACGGCCTCGGGGCCGTCGGCGTAGACCCAGTCGAGGATCGGCGGCGAAGCCCGCCGGGGGGGAGGAAAGCGAGAGCGGGCGGGCGCTCTTGCTGGGATGGGCGCGGGGGGTGCTGAGGGGAGAAGGGGGGCCACTGGTGGATGCCAAGGTGGGTTGTATCTGGCCTGAGCTGGCTCATGAGCGGGCTGCTACTGCCCCAAGTGGGTAGGGGGGATAGCGATCCAGGAGAAGTGGGCTCCGCCCACTTAGCGGAGTTGCCTGATCCACTAAGCCACTTGGGGCATGTGTGAACCACTTCTAAATAAGTCACGTGAGGCCAGGTATAACCCCTTTGGCGTCCACTGATAACTGAGAACCCCCGCGCCCATCCAAGTAGAACGCTCGGAGATCCCCCGACCGTCTGCCGAGAAGTGTTCTATGAGCCCTCCCCAAAGACGCGGAAAGCTTCTCTCAGGAGGCCCGAGGGCTTCGCAGAGGCCTCGCCGCCTTCTGTGGAGGTTTTCTCCTTCTCAGTTCTGGGGAAATCGCTACTCCCCGGACCTCATCCATGGTGCGGTCTGACAATGATTCCGAGGCGAATTCAGCGGTGACGACGAGGGCCTCCCAGGAGACGCAAAAACGGGAAAACGGGCGGAGGGTAGCAGTATGGGTACCTATTCCTCCTCCGACCTTCCCCCCTTCGCTCGCCGCCGAGAAGAAGGC